TTCATTACTAAATTCGATGACAATTCAGAAAGTGTGGCATATGAAAGATTGGATTGAATATGGCGTAAGGCCTGGTATGGCCGTAAGGCTATACCAGGCCGTCGACAATGAAGTGAGACGAACGGATGTTCGATAGAGGAGAGGAGGATTTTCCTACATGGTGAGAATGTTATCTCCTCTGTCACTTCTGGATTCTTCTTCAAGATAGCCGTTCTCCTCTCCGCCGCGGCCATTTCTCCATCCAGCTCCTGTGCCTCACCGTCTTCCTCTGGAATCGTCTCCTCCAAATACTATCTCCCGATCGCAGAGATGGACGTATCGAGATCTATTAGGTTCGGTTTTCTCTTACCCCAATAAGTGACCAGCGCTGCAGTTGTTGCAACCTTCCCAGATATTTGCAGTCAGAGTCCACCGGCACCAAGGTCCAAAGTTACCGGGATATCTTGATCCTGCTCTTCTCGAGAGAATGACCAAGCAATAGAGCTACGTCGTCGAATAATCGTTGTCGTCTTGTGAGCTCCTCGACTAGATTGCGTATAACCTGAGGAATGTCAGCTAATGATTCAATGGAATGAAGGTTTGACGCACTAATTCAGTATCATAGTTCCCAGCCGTCATTATAGTATATTGGGATGTTATGCTGCAAACTAAACGAGACAAGGGAAGATACCACCACTCCATGGTTCTCTTTATCTCGCCCAAGCTTCTCATTCGAAACCACATCGCGTGGTACTTTGTCTATAAAGATGCGTTTGATGTGGCCGACTTCGTATGCTGTCTTCATAGAGATGAGAGCGTGCATGGGTAGAGGCAGCAGCGGTACTTTGTACTTCTCAGAATGGAGGCTCCTGAGAACGAATAAATGTATGGATTTCGGCGGAGGAGAGGAGAGGATACTTGAGATGACGGTGGGGAAAGCATCATGTCGAAAGCCCAGAGTAGACAAGTTTGGTATCTGTCTCCACAAATTCGTAACAAAGCTTCTATATTTGTGTCTTTTCCAATCGACGTTAAGATCAAGGAGGAGCTCGAACATGGTGCTGAGCGACCCACACCTCGAAAACAAGTCGGGCAGGGCGTATTCGATAAAGGACGAGGATGCCTTCCGGCCTGAGATACATAGACTATGCAATCGCGTAAATGTCCATGTCGGGAGGATAGTTTTGATGGCGTCGGAAGTTTGCCGGAAATGGAGGGTAAGGTGAAGCAGATTGGACATGACGATGGGGCGAGCGTTGCACTCTTTAAGCGCACTTTGATCTAGACCGAACAATTGCAGATGGGTTAGTCCGCTAAAGGTAGAGTTCTGGGGGTTGGTGAATTCTGCTGCTATGTAAGAGGATGACAGCCCTCTGGGCATAGAAAAATTAAGGGACAAAGCTTGAAGGAATGGCATTTTAGCGAGATTTTTCATGAGATCAAGTGTCGTTGTTCTCATAATTACTATGCGGACCTTGGAGAGGTCATGCTCCAGTAAGGTCAAAGCATTGATCTTCGGAACGAACGACCGTAGGTGAGCATATCGTGCGTCTATCTTTTTCCTGACGCATTTATGAATTATGCATGCATCCCTATAACACGACTGGTCATCGAAATCGACGAGGATTCGTGTTGGACTTTGTGGCTTGGTTATACTCGGTGGAGGATAGTGGAATTTAATGCCGTCTGTGAACATCCATTGATAATGACCCGTCACTATTCGTAGAATGAGGTCGTTCCATGTACGGCAAACTCGTCGAAGGTTATT